CCTACACTGGCTAATTTGGGAAGAAGAAAAGTAATTCAATGAAAAAGACTTAATTTGGACTCTGACTTCCAGGGTCCATTTATGTATTAATAATTATGGGACCACGGTTAAGTCACTTATCTTCTCTGAAACTCAGTCTCCACAGAACTCAAATCATATGGCCCCTATCCTATCAGTATGTTTTGTCAAGAGGTTAAGTAATAGCAAAATATAAGAGTACTCTAAAAGACTGTAAACATGATTTAATCGGAGACAATAACAAAATCAGTACGATAAAAGTGTTTATTATCACAAGTGACACTCGAGTTTTGCTTTAACTACAGAGACACTGGGCAGAAAGCACATATTCACCTCAAAACATGATCCCGTTTAAAATAACATTAATAGTACTCCTTAAAGGGGGATATTATGAAAGTGTATGTGCCTGAAATCACATAACTTATATGCCCTATGCTATTAGCTATACCTTTTGATAGAACGAAAAACAATTTAAAAATGGGCATTGATCTAGAGAAAGTAACATTAATAGTACACGCACAGAACTCCCTGCTCCCAAAGGATTTTTTTTTTTTTGCCTGATTTCTAATTTTAAGAAGGAAAAAAATTAAAAATACAAACCAAGACTGACTGAGACTTGCAGCTCATTAAAGCTGAGGTGATTTCCCCTCTATAGAATTCTATTGATCTCCATAGTCCACACTAGACAAAAAGTGTGGTCAGGGAAAGGGGATGATGGATGCCTCTGCCAATAGCACTGAACAAACCTGTTAGCTAATTGCTACCAAAGACAATTATCCCCGCATTGTTTCATAATGGAAACACATTACAAAACTCTAATATACACACAGGGAAATTTGATGATTTGACTGCGGAGCCATGTGCATTGAATTTCATTGCCAAAGGCCAGCCAGGTCGCTGCTGTGAAGGGGAAGAAAGTGTCAGAATATAAGCCACAATATCTTAAAGCTCTTTACTTTCAGAAGAAGAAAGAAAAGGAGAAAGAGAGAGAATGAAAAAGACAAAGAAAAGAAAGGAAGACGACCTAGTATCATCAGCCAACTGATTGAATTCTGTAACCTGACAATCATCTTGACATTTTCTGTTACTTGTTGAAAGGATAAACCTTTAATAATGGTTTTCTGAATAATCACAAGAAGATTCTAGAAATCATTTTCTGTCCAGAGGAATATTCTTTCAAAAGCTGTTTTGACTGGCAGTCAGCCTATTGGCAAATACAGAGTTAAAAAGGTGGCTTCACAATAGCCCAGTGTGATGATTAAAAATAACATCAAATATCTGTCATGATTTTACTTAAAGGGGGAAAAAAAAAATCTGACTCTGTAACAACTCATAGTAAAACAGCCATTAACCCAACCAATTATAAAAGAAAAAGCTTCAAAATACAGTTATTTGATTATACATAATCATAGTGTAATTCAAGCATACAATATTTACATTTACCTCCTTTCCAAGAAGCCACATTCTTGAAATACCCTTTCCTTGATATGTTTCTAAATATGCTCATGTCCTTCTCCAGTCTATTCATGCAAGACATTTAATCCTAGTGTTGGAATTACAGGAATTCTGATATACAGTATACATCAAAATTATATTCAGTACTATTTAACTCTACTGAATAAAATGGTACAAAATAAAAAGAAAAATGTACCAAAGATATGCTGGTGTTATAAAGATAAATTAATGGCAACAAAATTTATGATCAACCTATTAACTTCATAATTCACAAGTCAATGAATTCTGTTTTACTGTGTTTGATACTGCACTATATAGGCCAGTCTACCTGCTTCAGACTCTGCTGACTACTATTTTGACAAGACCTGGATAGCAGTAGGTC